TAAAGAAGTGGGCGAGTATTCACAGTGTGCCTTTGCTTTGGTGCAATATGGATAGCGCGTTGGACTTCTAATCCAAAGGTCGTGGGTTCAAATTCCACCTGGGGCGACTAATTTCCGAGAATGTTTTCTTTACTATACTATTTCATTAGAATAATTAAATTTAATTAATAGATAAATAGTAAACAAAAAAGTAATCAACACCGTATATAGAAGGGAAAATGGAGAATTGCAAAGGAAAATCGCTTTTCTATTTTGCCACTTAATATAGAGATTCTGTTCTATGTATATACATATTTATATTTTAATTGTAATTATTTAATAAAAAGTAACTAAAATAAAATCTTCTTGTTGACCTAAGTACGAATTAACTTAAAAATTTTTTTATATTTAATGCAAAGAATATTTTATTTTAGTCTTTTAAATTTATAATCTGAAACGGCAATTTTAAAAGTTCAAAAAATGTAATATACACAAAAATCTTAAGTCTAGAATGAAAGAGCGTAAATTACATTGGATGTTTGTTTACCTCATTCTTTTTTGGAATATTATTGTTTATTAAAAGTTCCATTTTGAAACTACTCTAGGGCTACAGGTGACGGATATCGTAATTTTGAGGCACAGTCGAGGATGACCCCTGAGCTTGCGTTTCACTCGTAAAAATCTCACACCGTGCCAACGCGAGGACTTGAAACCTCATGAGATTTAACCTTTAATGACTAATGTGGCCTCGGTAGCCTAGTGGTCAAAATAACGACGTGGCATTGTCGTCATGGGTCGAGCCTAGAAAAGCTGAAAACCCTCTATACAGAGGGTGCCGATGCATGTTAAATATGTCGAAGCTCAAACATCCTCTCGTTGGTCTAGTGTGGAAGTTAGGGAGGGGGTGCTAGCTCAGATGCCGTCCTCGTCGCTTGACCATGGTTTAAAATTACGAGGTCCATTTCAAAAGCCCTCGTGTAGCTGAATAGCCAGCTCAGTTATTACCATCATCAATTGACCATGGCTCACAATTACGATGTCTGTCGACAACAGTTCCCTTGTATTGCCTCTAAGTACGTTGCGAATACAAAAATCAATGTAAACCGGAACAATTTTTAAAACACAATCAATATGCCACATAATTTTTGATCCACTGTAAATTTAGGCTCTCGCTCTGCATATTTGCGAGATGGGTCTTAGATTGATTCAAAAAACGCGACTCGACTAAACGTACCTGGTCACAAGCTCACGATCACTTAAATAGCTATTGTTTATATAAGAGTCAATGTTGCACAAATGAATTATTAATAGCTGCTTCATCTAAATCTAGATGGGTCTTTAAGTTTTCATTAATATTATGTAAATGTATGAAGAGTGAGATACATATGAGGCCATCCGCGTGAGTAAGTGTTTAATTAATATCGCACTCTAAAGCTATTGGGAACGTTCTTCGTAATTTTGACCCGTGGTCAACTGACGATGACGCCGTCTTGCCCGGCATCCCCGTGGTCGCGGTAGCCGAGTGGTACATGTATCGGATCGTGGCTTGCCTTGTCACGAGTTCGAGCCCAGTACCACTAGACCACGTGTAGGGCAGCGATGCATGTTAAATCTGCTCGAGAGCTGAAACGTCCTCCCGTTGGTGTGGTGTAGTAGTTAGGATAGGGGTGCCAGCTCAGGTGTCGTCCATCACTTGATCATGGTTCAAAAATTACGTGGTCCGTTGCCAGAGCCCTCGTGTAGCTGAACAGTGCGACGTTAATATTCAATCAATCTACCCGGCATCCCGCTCTTCTAACTTCCATGCCAATGGGAGGATTTCGAGTTGCGACAGAATAGTGTCCCTCTTTACGGTGAGCTCTTAGTGGCATCAAGATTTGAACCCATAACTCAGCAAAGTCGGCTACGAGTTCAGGGCCATGACCACTTGACTACTGCCGCCACCAATAGGCAGATTCATATGTTGTATTGTCACGCATTTCTGAGGCTTTAATAATTGGCCATTGAAGCCTAGTGGTTAGGTGACATTGTGGCTGGTGTCATGCGTTCGAGCCTTGTACTGCCGCCGTGCGGAGGACGCCGATGCACATTCAATATGTCGAGGGGTCCATTTGTGTGAGTAGAAATTAGAAGAGGGAGGGCGCCATCTCACGTGTCCTCCTTGGCACTTGACCATTGCTCAAAACATGAAGCCCGCTACCAATAGCCCTCGGGCATCTTTATGGTGTGACGTTAATATAACACTCATTCACGTGGCTTAGTTAAGCAATAAATGGTTTTATAAACCTCATTAAAAACTTTAATATTTAAGAACTTTAACCCTCGTGAGTACAAAAAGTCTGCATATTTCTTCAGTCCCTTTATTTATTCATTAAAAAGAGCTTAGGAAAAAGAATCGACTTTTCCAAACACAATATTTTTTTCATAATAATGAATACAAAGCTGTGTGTGTAATAGAGAACAATACTACAGATATTATCTAAGAGATAAGAGAAAATAAATTGGAAGAACCTCTTTTGAGCATCACTTAACCTTATACGAGTACGTATTTTTTTTTTTTTTAATTTGTGAAAGATTAGAATGGAAAAAATGCACACCCATTTGTGCGAACTTCATGAATACCTTTTCGTTCAGTAACTGACAAAACCGCCCTTGACCTTCATCGTATGTGCGATTCCCTGCGTTTGACCTGCAATCTTAGTCACGTTTCTTTTCTTTTCAGGTTCTTTTCTTTCTTTGCTTCGAACGGTATCTAAATGCCCCGCTGTCTGGCTGCACAGTTTCAAAACGCTGGCCTCTCTAATGAGATGCATAGATTACTTAGCCTGTGTCGTTTATTTAGATCAAAATACAGCGCTGGCGTTGTAATTTTGCTCGTTTTCCTTCCTGGTTATTTCTCCGATGCTTTTAGATTTTGTCTCCCTTGGAATGAGGGAAAAATTAGGGTTTTTAATTTATAAGAGGGTTCAACATCCGGAATGCAAAATTAAGGTAAATATAATAGTAATAATAATAGGACATCAAAATGAAATGGCAGGGAAGAAAACCGATCTGTGTAGACGTGGTGGTGTAATTAACGCTGTATTTTTTAAATGGTATCGGACCCCTGCCCCCCTTCTGGAAGATGGGGGAGTTTGTCTAAAAATTGTGGATTGTGATTACCATTGCTTTAAATTTTTGGAAACTTATTTTTTTATGTGTCTATGACTTAATTAGGCAAACAATTCTGATTTACCACAAATAACTTTGCTTTCTATTAATAATAAAAAATAATAACAATGATGATCGGTACTAGGGTATTATACCGTAGGATCAATTTCGCCAAATCAAAAGACGTCGCCAGTTCTGAAAATAGAAGCTGAATACTGTCATCGTTATTATTGTATTCAAGTATGTGAGGTGAACGGTTTTCCACTATTTGCTGCATATCGCGGCATTTGGCGATGTCTTTAGATTTGACGAAATTAGGCAACGGTATGAGTACTTGAAAATACCCAATAATCTTGTGGGGAATCTTCAAAGCTAAACTGTAGATGTATGCTATAAGATTTGGACAAAATTTTAATAACCAAGAAGCATACTGCAAATTACTAGTAAAAGAAAAAAAAATTTAAGAATTTTTCTTAACATATCAACTTGAAGTACCGCCAACTATAATTGGGCCTTTTTTACCACATTACCACATAATTAAATTTGAAAGTGTTTCTTTCGGATATATGTTATGAATTAATGTAATCTATTGAGGAATGCAAAAAGTTATAATGAAATTGAGCCTTCATGCGTGTCTTTGAATTAGTTTAAATTGATTTCTGCCTGCCTCGAACTTTACATTCGTGGTTGTCCACAGATCTCCATTTTTTTTCATACAGAGATAGAATTCATGCAAGACCTTTGTCATCCATTCGTTAAGCTATGAACTTATATACTGATGGAATATTTCTTGTTAAAACATAAATAAGATAAAATTTAACTAAAGATTCTTGAAGTTGCGTGTTAAATTTTACGAAGAATAATCATGATGAAATGTTAGACCAAAACAAAATGTACTTTTTTTTAGAAGTTAAATATAACGTACATTTTTTTTACTTCAAAGATTTCTTCAATCTAATTATCACACACACACACACACAAATTGTTTTCTTCAATATGGTTTGCTTATAAAATATTCTTCTTTGTGGTTTTTAATCAAATTTATTAGCATTTTGCTTTTGGAAACTCAATGTCATGTAACCAAATTATTTTTTAATATAATTCAACTGCGCGAAAATCTACGCTTCATTTTTCAAATCTGTACAGTTACAGGAATTAAGATCATAGTATAAAATATTTAAAAGCCTATGCTTGTTTATTTTAATTAATGTACATGATGTATCTTTTTAGGCCCAATATTTTCATTTCTCATTTTTATCCTGGTAAAGTTTCACATTAAATTTCTCTATAGAATTTATTCCCATTCGGAATATTTCTCTACAAGGAAACCTCGTTTAACTTGTCACCTAATCTTCTAGAAACCGAACGCTTCAACAGAAGGGCAAATAGCATATAATCAGCGTTGCTCACGTCTGAGTTGTAGTAGATAATTTTGTTCGAAGAATGCTTCCTTCCAACTATGCCAAGAACTCCGATCAGTTATCAGCGCTTGAGAAGAGGGGCTGTTTATTTCCAAAATGGCCTCACGAGGGCTCCCTCCCACTTCTTGATTCCTTCGACTAGTCGAGATTGTTCTATAAGATTCCATGGAACTTAAGTCGTAAGATACGCTTAGGATAAATGGTTTCCAATTTGCTGTTAAAGGTTGCATGCAAAATGTTTATATTAAGCCTAATAGAGTGATCAAATTGGAGTTCTTTTCAGATTTTAATTATCTCCGTATAGCTTGCTTGAAAGGCTTGTATTACAATATAGATATTTAAGTCCACATGTATCACAAAGGTGTGTTCAGACATTAAGGTATCCGATTGCGTTCGGAACCATGATTTTGCAAAAGCGTACAAACGAACATTTTTAATATTTAGTGTAACTTAGATTAGAATACACGTATAAATTGTTTTCAGAAAATTATTACAGTAGAAAAATTATTTAAATACACTATTTTGGCAAAAAAGGAACATAGATTTATATATTTTT